CGTGGCAGTGGAGATGAAGCTGAAGCTGCACACCGTGGAGTACGTGGTGTTCGACGAGGCCGACAGGTCAGCAGGGCATCCCCAGGGCTGGCAGTGTCCCCACGTGTGTGAGAGGCCCAGGGAGGGGCCTGCCATGTCCCATATCCCCTCCCCTGCAGGCTCTTTGAGATGGGCTTTGCTGAGCAGCTCCAGGAGATCATTGCCCGGCTCCCAGATGGCCACCAGACCGTGCTGTTCTCTGCCACGCTGCCCAAGCTGCTCGTCGAGTTTGCCCGGGCTGGTGAGGAGCTGGGGGCAGGTGGCACTGGGGACGGGGACACAGCACAGTCCTGCAGCCAGGCCGAGCCCAGCACTGGGAAATCCAAGCTGGATTAATGCTGGGCCAGGTGGGTGTCCCCAGCAGCACATCCCGAGTGTGACCCGTGTCCTGTGTGCCACCACAGGCCTCACTGAGCCGATGCTGATCCGCCTGGATGTGGAGTCCAAGCTGAGTGAGCAGCTCAAGGTGAGATGGGCTGGGGGAGTTCAGGATGGGCTTTGTGCCCCCTACCCCCTGCAAGCCGCCTGCTCCTGAGGAGGGGACAAGGGTGGCAGTGGTGGCACAGGGCTGAGCACTGTCCCCATGCTGCAGCTGGTGTTCTTCCATGTGCGCGGGGACGACAAACCGGCCGTGCTGCTCCACCTGCTGCGCAGCGTGGTGAAGCCCCAGGACCAGACAGTTGTCTTTGTGGCCACCAAGCACCACACAGAGTATCTGAGGGAGGTAAGTGGCATTTGGGGGATGCCCATGTGGGGCCTGCAGCTGTGGCAGGTCCCTGATGGAATCTCTCCCTCTGTTTCACTGGGTTGAAGGAGAAATCCCATATGTGATCATGGAGGTGGTGCATCCCATTCACCCCTCAGAGAGAGGAGGGAGCACAGTGGGGTTTGGAGGCCCAGGTGGCCACTCTGGAGTGTCTGGCACTGTCTCTGCTGCAGCTACATCCATCCAATCTCTTTTCCCCCCTTCCCAGCTGCTGACAGCACAGGGCATCCACTGCACCCACATCTACAGCTCTCTGGACCAGACTGCCCGCAAGATCAACATTGCCAAGTTCTCCCAGGGCAAGTGCCCAGTGCTGCTGGTCACCGACGTGGCTGCCCGTGGGCTGGACATCCCCATGCTGGACAATGTCATCAACTTCAGCTTCCCTGCCAAGGGCAAGCTGTTCCTGCATCGTGTCGGTGCGTGCCAGCACCCTCACTCTGTTGTGATATTGAGGGACAGACTGGGGACAAAGCAGTGTCAGTGTCCCTGATGTCCCAGCAGGACTGTAGGGCTTCCCCTTGCCCCTTCCCCAGCCACCCACAGCCCCTTGCCAGCTATGCCCCAGCGGTAAATGTCATGTGTGTAGACTGCCAGGGACGCCAGGGAGTCCCTTGCCAGGCTGGGGCCAGGCTGGGCTGGCTGGGTATGGTTTCCCATTCTCCTCTTGCCCTTGCCAGGCCGTGTGGCCCGAGCTGGCCGGAGTGGCACTGCCTACTCGCTGGTGGCTCCTGACGAGATGCCCTACGTGTTCGACCTCCACCTCTTCCTGGGGCGCCCGCTCGTCCTCGCTGGAGCACAGGAGATGCCTGCTGGTGAGGGACGGCTGTGTGGCCACTGGGGTGTTATCCTTGGCCAGTGCTGCAGTTTGTGGACTTGTGGTGGGCCCTCACAGAGAGGGGTGATGGGGAAGACGGGGTGTTGGTGGCTATAATACACCCTGTGTATCATACACCCTGTGT